TAGCGACCCAGGCGGCTGCTATGGGGCCCGGGCACAGGGGGGGCCCGGCCAGGGCATCCCTCTGATGCCGTGTGGGCCGTCTGGGTCGCTATGGCATGTAAGGGTGCTGGCTGTCACAGCTCAACAACGGCTGTGAAGATCACTGATTTCCCCCTCACAGCCGCTGCGGAGTTGTGTCAGTGACAGCCAGCAGCAGCGGCAGAAGAGGGCCAGCGTTTGCAGTAAAGGAGGAGGCGGGGGTCCGCCTAAGAGCAACCCCGCCTCCAATTACATCACTAGCCAGCGACCTAAGAGCAGGCGGGGCCTGTCGATAGAAGAGGAAGGACGGAAGAGGAGGCGGGGCCCCGGCGACCACGGAGGGGGACAGCGCTGACAGGTAAGAGGTGTGCAGCCCATCTGAGACCCTGCAGAGCCCACTATAGAGAGTCTATGGCGGGCTCTGCAGGGTCACTCTCAGGGGGGCTCTGCAAGGGGCATAACTAGCAATCACGGGGCCCCGTACAAAATTTTGCTATGGGGCCCTGTGATTTCTAGTTACGCCTCTGATTCTTATTCTTTCTTTTTTTTTACTTTATTGCCCATCCTTCCTCCCCCTCACATGTGTTTAGCTGAGATACGTATCGTTGTGGCCCTCCGTGTGACTGGATGTTTTCTGCATACGTAATAAACAACGATCCCATGTTCTTTTCCAAGGCCCATTCCTCCAGTGGCGGCGTTCCGTCTAACACCACTGTGACAGTCAAACTTTTCGACTCCGAGTCTTTCACCTTCACGGTGCCTGGACACATCACCATGGAGGATCCGAAGTTCGGCGAGCTGGTGGCTGAGGAAGCTTTGAAGAGATTTAAGAAAGAAGTCGTGTAAGTTTCATTCAATGTAACACAACTAAGAGAGCTGAGTCCTCCAGCAGCGTAGAGTATTTTAGGAGAGGAGAGTCAGATAGAGGAAGATGCTGAGTCCTCCAGCAGCGTAGAGTATTTTAGGAGAGGAGAGTCAGATAGAGGAAGATGCTGAGTCCTCCAGCAGCGTAGAGTATTGCAGGAGAGGAGAGTCAGATAGAGGAAGATGCTGAGTCCTCCAGCAGCGTAGAGTATTTTAGGAGAGGAGAGTCAGATAGAGGAAGAAGCTGAGTCCTCCAGCAGCGTAGAGTATTTTAGGAGAGGAGAGTTAGAGGAAGAAGCTAATTAAGGGGCTCTCCGGGATCTGCTCACGTCTCCTGTGTGTACAGCACCCACGTGATCGGCCCTCAGCCTGCTACTGCGCATGCACAGGATTTCTGAATGAGAGGGCTGGGCAATCTGCGCATGCGCAGTAGCAGGCTGAGCGCCGATCACGTGGGTGCTGTACACACAGGAGACGTGGGCAGATCCTCGAGAGCTTGGAGAGCGGTGTCTGCCCAGCGGGCTGAGGGACTGGTATGGTAATGACTGCTGGTGAATGAGGTGTCTGCAGGGTGGGGGTCAGATCGATGCCAATTGGCTGGGAAGCCATCTTCTTGGTCAATCAGCATCGAACTGGCCAAACAGAATGGAGTCGGCTCAGTCGGCTTCCCGGCCAATCAAGAAGCCGGGCGGTGGGTAATGACACGCTTTCTGGCTTCTTGATTGCCCAGGAAGCCGCCTCTATGCCACAGGAAGCACCGGTACTCTTATTGGCGAGTGCCGAAATATAACTATCGGTACTCGATACCGAAAAACCGGTATCTGTGCATCCCTAATAAATACAATTGATTTGCAGCATGGGGCCCTTCTGCAAGGTTGCCACCTTTTCTGGGCAAAAAAAATTCTGGCCTTCTTATCTTCTTCTCATTAATAACTTGGGCAACGAATCCAATTTTTACTGGTCAGGCAAATAAAGGAAGAAGGCCTAAAAAAGAAAACGAATGCGGCCGCCTCGTCTGAGGACGGCTGAGCTGCATGATATGACATTTCAGTTATTGGGTTTAGATACATTTCAGGTTTGTGTTTTACTCACCGCATCGCTCTGCTCTTCCTTCCGCAGCGAGGCCGTCTGACTGTACAGAGTGGGATCTGCTGCCGCACCTTAAATCCACGGCCGTTCCCAGTCCAGGTAGAAGCTGATCGTGCCGCTCCTCTCCCGATAGCCAGCCAGGCCTAGGCAAGCCTCCGCCCGTTCTCTGTGTGTCCAGCGCACGCCCCCTCCTCCTACTACTACTACTGTTGTTCTGCTACTACTGGTACTCATGTTTGCTGCTTTCTTTTGTAGGGACCAAAAAATTGACAAAAACAATTAAAAAGACCTTCAATGTTACCCGTGCCGAACGTGCCCGGTTCTTTTATTTCCACGCCCGTCGTATTCTGTTCCGGTTGGGGAACTACTTACGTCTTTCAATCAGCCGATTACATTCCAGGTGCAAGAAAACAAAAGGCGCGCCGGGACTTACCAATACCGCCAGCGGACACAGCCTGGGTGGTGCTCTCTGGGTGGGAGCAGTGGTCTCTTTGCAGAGATCCTACACCTCAATCGGCAAAACGCATGCTCTCTGACTCATCAGGGGGCATGTAAGACCTCTGTAAGACTCTGGTATGAGGACATTATTTGCTTTAGATACATTGCGGGTGCTGCATCAAAAGTCGTGCAAAGTCTCTGGTCCCCCAGAGAGCAATGGTTTTTCTCTATAGCCG